CAGATTTGTTTATTCTTCTGGCAGTCCCTGGTATATTCAGTATTCTTCTCCAACACACCTTAATTCAAAGGCATCAATTCTTCTTCGATCTTTCTTATTCGTTGTCCAGCTTTCTCATGCATATGAGGCTATTTAAAATACCATGGCTTGAGTCAGGCGCACCTTAGTCCTCAAAGTGACATCTTTGCTTTTTAACACTTTTTTAAAGTGACACCTTTGCTTTTTAATACTTTTAAAAAGAGACCTTTTGTAGCAGATTTGCCCAGTGCAATACACGGTTTGATTTCTTGACTGCTGCTTCCATGGGCATTGATTGTGGATCCAAGTAAATGAAATCCTTGACAACTTCAATCTTTTCTCCATTTATCATAATATTGCTTATTGGTCCAGTTGTGAGGATTTTTGTTTTCTTTATGTTGAGGTGTAATCCATACTGAAGGCTGTAGTCCTTGATCTTCATCAATAAGTGCTTCAGGTCCTCTTCACTTCCAGCAAGCAAGATTGTGTCATCTGCATATCACAATATATAGCCAATATATAACCACCGTTAATTTTTTATTTATCTTTTTACTAAGGTATAACGTACATAGATCTTGAGAGTCCTACTGGCTGGATTTTTTCATATCTGTATATGCACCTGCATAACCACCACCCAGATCAAGATGTGAGACGTTTCCAGCACCTGGGGGCCCCTTGCACCCCCTCTCAGTCACTAGCTCCCAGAGTCTTGCCTGTTTTCGAACTTCACTAATGGAAGCGGGCAGTGGGGGCTCTCTGTTATCCTGCTTCTCTGAGCGCAGCAGCACATCCGTGAGGTTCATCCGCGGTGGTGTGGGTAACAGTAATTGGTTAATTTGCATGGCCACGAGTATTCCATGGTGTGAATATGTGACCGTTTATTTTTCCATTCTCTGAGGATGGATGTGGGAGGCTGGGTTCCCCGGGGAGCGGCCTCTGAGACCCAGCTTATCGAGCAGGGTGTTTATTAGGGAGCAATCTCAGGACCAACTCCTAGGGAAGGGAAGGAACCCGGACGAGAGAGAGGGAGAGCTGAACCGGGATGCAGTTGCAACAAAAGCCTCAGCTGGACCCGATGGTCCCCTGGTGCTGTCCTGAGCTGGGGCCAGGGGCCAGGCCTTTCTCCCCCCGGTGAACAGGTCACTGACGCAGGCTGCCTCCACTAGGGCATAGCTTTGGGTGAGGCGGTCGCGAGGCAGGCTGACAGGTGAGGGCAGCACTCCAGCTGGTGGGTGAATAAGTCCTTCATTCCTGAGGGGGATCTGAGCAGTGCATGGCAGCGTCCAGCCCAGTAGACATTTGGGTGGTTTCTAGTTTGAGGCTGTTGTGAACATTTGTGCACCAGGACTAGTGTATGCTGGGCATTCACCTAGGAGCGGAATTGCTGGGGCATTAGGTACGCTCTACATAGCTTTGGAAGAAATGGCTGCACGGCACTCTGGGCGCTGACAAATCCTTGCTGACCCCCTGCGGTGTGCATGGCCCTGACTGTCCTCTGGGATCCCAGCCTGGTGGTGAGCGGGTGAGCACAGACAAGTGTAATATGGTCGGGGTCCCAGGTCCTCGATGGTAGGAGACCACAAAGGGCTGGGCTGCGTAACAATGTCCAGTTGGGCTGGCTTCCTACCGGGATTTGCAGGCTGGCATGAACCCGGGGCAAGCCCTTGGCTTCCTCGTCTGTAGGACGGGGATGGAAACTATTGTCCTGTCCCCTCTCGGATTCCTGCGGCATCTTACGAGGTGACCCGCGTGGAAGCACTTTGTAATGATGGGGCACTGGGAAAACTGATGGTTGGCGGCCAACGAGGGGTCCGATGTGGCGACAAACAGACCCTGCGGAGGGTGGGAGTATGATGAGCTGCGGGGTGGGGGGAGGGGGGGGGAGACCTCGGAAGCCTCAACCCCTCCTCTCCCATCTCCCCCTTAGGGGTACCGACCTTCCCGGCCCACCCTCTACCCTTGACGGTTCACAGGGCTCAGTCCATCCTGCAGTACTGAAAACAGCCAGCAGGGGCCGCCCCAATCACTGTCCGGAAGCAGCCCTGGTCTCAATGGGCCAGTAACTCTCTTCTGGGAACAAGCCTCTACAATGACTTCCCAGGCACTGGAGGGAAGAGGAGGGTGCTGTCCCCATTGTGGGGCACCCTTCACCTCACATTCAGACAACAAGTCAGCAAATATCTGAAAGCTCCCACTGTATATCAGCACAGTCGTGGGGAAGGTATTAAATAGTCACAAATGCTTACGAGGGTGCAAAGTGAGGAGGCATGGAGGGGGCGTAGCGTGGTGGTTAGGGCGGGGCTCTGGAGCCGGACCTGGTTCTGTCGCTTACTGCTTGTGATTGAGAACAAGTTGCTTAACCTGTTTGCGCCTCGCTTTCTTTACTGGAAATAGAACGTTCTCAAGGAGGTGCCGTGAGGATTAGCGAGCTAATACAGTCGTGGACTTAGAACGGTGTTGTTGGTGTGTGCCGTCGATTGCTGTCAAGTTGATTCTGACTCACAGCGACCTTGTAGGACAGAGCAGAACTGCTCCATAGGGTTTCCATGGAGGGGCTGGTGGATTTGAACTGCTGACCTTTTGGTTAGTAGCCAAGCTCTTAATCACTGCGCCACCAGGGCTCCATCAAGTTGATATGTGTTTGTTAAGTAAATAAACGTGGGAATGTGTGATGGGGGCTAGCTGGGTGCCCTCCTCCCCTATATGTTGGGCCTGAGACAGGATTCTGGTTCCTCAGGGTGCTTACCCTCACTGAGGTCCTGCAGACGGGACCCCACTGCACCAGTCTGCTGGCACGGGGCAGTCTGATGTCCACGGATTGCCCAGTAATTTTCCAGACAGGCTGAGGCTCCAGACTTGGTTTCCCTGATAAGATTCCATCCCGCGTCTCTTATATCAACAAGGCGCTCGTGGCTCCAGCTCTTTAGACAACCTCCCGGGGCAGTCAGCGCTGAAGAGAAAGCCAGGGCAGGGGAGGAGGGAGCATGAGGGTCTGTGTCCAAGGAAGGCCTTAGCACACCCAGGGACCAGGGGTGCCTGAGGGCCTGAGGCACAATAGGGGACCCCGCACCCGAGACCCTTCAGGCTGAGCCAGCCAGGACCGCAAACCTGGGGGGCCCTCGCCTCGGACTGGGCCAGCTGGAACCCTCAACCTTGCATTCACCCTGACCTTGACTCCTCACCAGTTTGCCTCGGCATTTGGAAGACGGCTTCCAGCGGAGAAGCCAGGGGAGCCAGCGGGGGTGTGGTGTGTGAGAGAAGGTTCAGCGTGGCAGCAACGTCTTTGGAAGTCACCCGGGGCCAGTTTGCCATTGCCTTCCCCTCCCCAAGACCAAAGCCATGCATGTCGGGGCTGGAAGAGACCACACACCAGCAGATCTTAGCTTTCTGTTTTACACATGGGGACACCAGGACCCAGGGGGGCACAAGAGCTGCCCAGGGTAACCTATGGGGCAAACCTGGGCTTCCAAGCTCCCTGTTCTCTCTCAGAGCCCTGGTGGTGCAGTGGTTAAGAGCTCAGCTGCTAGCACAAAGTGTGGCAGTTCAAATCCACCAGGTGCCCCTTGGAAACCCTGTGGGACAGTTCTACTCTGTCCTATAGGGTCTCTATGAGCCAGAATCGACTCGATGGCAATGGGTATCCTCTCTCACCCCAGCCAACCTCTCCAGCTCAGTCAACAGCACCATCATTCCCAGATCCCCAAAGAACATGTGTTGGGGATATCTTTCCCTTTTAGCTGAGTCCATAGCCTTTGCTGACTGTGTCCCCGGTCCAAGGTCTTGGGAAGGGCTCGGCCTGGAGTTCAAGGGCCAGAGTCCTCACAAGTCTCCACACCAACCCAGGGCCTTGCGACCTAAGGTGGCTTCATGGCTCAGCAGAGTTGCAGGCACAGCCCAGACCTTCTGAGCCTGTCTGCTCCTTCACAAGCTCCCCAGGTGGCTCGTGTGCCCTTTGCGGTTTGAGAAGCACCAGGTCAGAGCAAGCCACTTTCCCTCAAGGAACCTCAGTTTCCCCAATGGAAATGGAGGGGCAGAAACCTCTGACTTCTTCATCCCAGCTAACATACTGGGAGCCAGGCCTTTGTGGGGACCCCCTGCAGGGGTGTGTGCATTTCGTAGAGGATTCTGGAAAGTGGAAGGAGCCCTGGTGGTGCAACGGGTAAGCACTCGCTGCTAACAGAAAGGTCAGCAGTTCGAACCCACCAGTGGCTCCGCAGGAGAAAAGACCTGGCGATCTGCTCCCTGTGAAGATTGCAACCTAGGGAAGCCCTATGGGGCAGTTCTACTCTGTCCTATAGGGTCGCCATGAGTCAGAATCAGCTCGATGGCACAACCACCCCCACGGCTGGAAAGTGAATTCCGGCACCAGCAAGGCCAGGGAGCAGTCACAGGGACATACTCTCCCTTCTGTCTGCTTAGCCTCTCTGCAGGAGGCACAGGGCAGGCACGACCTCCTGGGTCCTGGGAGGCAGCGAATGCCATTCGACTCACTTCAGCTGCATTGATTGAGCATCTTCTGGGTGCCAGGGCCAGCAGCAGTGAGTCTCCAGCCTGGCTGCACATTAGAATGATCCGGGGTAATTTTTTAAAAAATACTGATGCGCCCCCCCACCCCACCCCCACCGCCCATGGAATCAGAGTCGCGCGGGGCGGTGGCAGAGCCTGGGCACAGGTACTTTTAAAGTGCAGCAGGCAGTCACAATGCCCAGCCGGGCTGAGAAAGATGGGTCTGGAGTCATACCCAGGTCACCTCCCTCCCACCCCACCGGGCCCGCCAGCTCTCTGCCCTGAGCCAAGAGAAACCACCGGGTAAATCCCTGATTGCAACCCGTGACAGCGACATTTAATTAATCATCAACCCTGGAACACAATCCCTGGCCCATAACAAGAGGACCTGCAGAGCCTTTGGAAATCTGTCCACTGGCACCCTCCAGATAACTTCCCTCCTGACTCGGAGACCTGTGCTCCAGGACGCCAGGCTGATGGGGGCCCAGCTCTGCTGTGAGGCTGGTAAGTGGAGCCCTGGACTGGGGATGCCAGGGGTGGAAGGGGCTTTGTGTCACTGCCAGGGCAGCAATCTCAGGAGGCAGAGGTGTGGTCCCCAACCCGATATGTAAACATTGCTCAGAAAGAGCTTCTGGCTCTGAGGTAGCAGTCTTCCTGTCACTGCAAGAATCCAAGCAGAGGCTGTGTGACTCAGATCTAGGGTCCCTGCAAGGATGGGCTGACTCTGCATAACTCACCTGCCTCTCAGATCCAGTTACACGGAGACTAGAGTGGCTGTGGTGGGGAACCAAAACCTGAGGATTCGACTTACGTGGTTTCAATGGCTGCGACCTTATGGCAGTAGATCGCCAGGCCTTTCTTCCGTGGTGCTGTTGGGTGGATTCAACCTTGTGACTAGCAGCCGATGCACAAACCGTTTGTGCTACCCGGGCCCCTTGCTGTGGCAGTGGGCAGCAGGGTAGAATTTAAGGGGCCTGGGGGAAGACAAGGGCCAGGGTCCCAGCTCTGTCAGGGTCTAGCTGTGGGACTCGGGTGAGGCACCTTTCCCCCAGGCCTCAGTTTCCTCATCCATAGGCTGGGGACAATGCAACCCATGCTGCCAGCTTATAGGGCGGCCAGAATGCGCCAATCCAAAGAGTCTCCTGGTGCGAAGGTTCTCTGCAAGCGCCACATGAGGGTACAGCGCTCCCTTAGTGGGACGGCCGTGCTGGGCAGGAGATGGGGAACTCTGCCTTTGATCACCAGAGCTCAGGGCTGTGCATCGCTGGACCCTGCCTCTGAAAGCTCACACACCTGAGTGGCTGCATCCAAAGCAGCAGGGATGGGAAGCAAAGCCGCTGCTGCCCAGCAACCGTGTTTGGATTCCAGGGGGGGCAATGACATTGCCGTAAAGGAGATGGTGTAGGAATGTGGGGCGAGAAGCCAGGCTGTGGCGCCCCCACTTTGGATCTTGGCTGACTTGCACAGCCTCTCCAAGCTGCTGCCCCACTGAGTGCTTTCCCGCAGAGTCAGGGGGACGACTGAAAGGTGCTCAGTGGGTGCCTGCAGCTGGAGAGACTTGATGGCTGGCAGGGTGCAATGAGGATGATGAAGCCCTAGGGAGGCGCTCGCTGACCTTCTGTCCCTGTGATTCCAAGACCTGTGATTCTCTGGTGTGAGTCCACCTGTCCAGGGGTGGAGACATCCCAAAGGCCATGAGCCGTGGTTCTTGAGCTCCCCAGCCACCGGGGTGGGTCCTTGTTGGCAAGCCTGGCACAGGGTCCCGTCCCTACAGCCTGGGGAGCTCAGGGGGCAGGATGGGTGGGTGGGAACGTCACCCTGCTTCTCTGCGTCTCAGGGCCCTGCCTGAAAACGGGGCTTATCCTAAGAATGGCCACCTCTGGGGGTGGGTGAGAAGGTGGGTGTGAGGGTGCTTTGAACTCCACGACACCCCAGGCAGCTGTGGACGGACAGGCCTACTCAGACAGCCAGACTCGGCCTGTGCCCACCTCCGCTACCCCCCACCCCAGGAGCGGGTGTAACCATGTTGCCCGGGTTGGTGGATGGGAGGTCTCCCTGCAGCCCTGTGGGCTCCTGGAGGGGACAAGTGGAGCAGAGGGTCTCGGGGGACACCCATACCTCTCAGGCCCACTGTGACCCACCTCCAAACCTGGCAGCTGAGCCCTGTGCAGGAGTGTGCCCTGTGGGTGGGTGCCAGCCTGCAGACACGCAGCCAGAACGGCAGGGCCAGGCAGGTCCACCCCCCTCACCCTTGGCCCTGCACAGGGAACGGCACCACCACACAGAGAGTGCGCGTGGGGAGACTGAGGCCCGGTGGCGCCTCACAAGGGCCACACTCAGGCAGTTGCTGAGGGGCTGCCCAAGGCAGTGAGGGGGCCCAGGAGTACAGCTGGGAGAAGGGCGCTCATGTCCGCTGGCCCCCCAGTGGTCTGTGCAGCCGGCTGTGTCCCTTTGGCTTCACTGGCCCCCCTCTAACTGTGATGATGATGGGAACATGACTCCGATGTGCCTCTGGAAGGCTCCTGAGGCAGGGATGTGGCGAGATTTGCAGACCGTCCTGTGCAGGGCAAGGCCTGCATCCTGGGGTCCCCAGAGCCTCCCCGCCCTACTGAGGGACTCAGGCAGCCATGTCCTCTCTGGACTGCCTCCTGGCCAGTAAGTTCCCTGCTTTCCTCCAGGGAGTGGATGGGAAGTGAGCTCACCTTGCCCCACTCCTCAGCCCACCTGCCCTGAGTCAGCCACATCCTGTCCAGGGGTGGCCGTGCAGGGGCTGGGGCGGCAGGACAGCGGCTCCAAACAGGAGCTCATCCCTGTTGGTTACGTCTAGGCCCAGGGAGCTGAGGATAGGGGGTCTTTGGCTCCCTGTCAGGGCTACCCTGGGCCCGGTCGGCTGCCCTCCCCATTTGAACCCCCAGCTCTAGTAGCTATGAAGCCAGAGCCTGCTGAGGGGGGGCCTTTTCTGCCTCACCGGTGGCGGGTGTGGAGAGGGCCTGGCCCTGAGTGAGGGCTCAGGACAGTGCTAGGGGCTCGGATGCCGGTGACCATCTCCCTGGCAGTCAGGGCCTCTGCCCGGGTCCCTTACCAAGCCCACCCCAGGCCTTCTCTCCAGTCCCCACCTCAGGGATGGCCAGTGGCCCAGCCAAGTGAGGGGTCAGCCTCCACCCTCCCGGGTTTTGGCCGCTTACACCAAGACCCCCTACCTGTCCTCCCTCCCAGCCTGAGACCTGTCCGAGGGGAGTTACCCCCTCACATTCAGAAGCCCGGGGAAGGTGCCCCAGACTCCAGGCCCCGGCTGGACAGGCCATCATTCCCATTTGTGATAAGAGACCAGAGGGGCAGTGAGCCGACCAGGCCACATCAGAGCCAGGCCTAGGTGTGAGACCTTGCCCATCGGCACCCCGGCTGCCTGCCCACTCTGTGGAGGTCAGCTCCAGAAGGCTCAGTAATCCAAATCGTCCAGCCTACTGTCAGGGCTCCCCACCCGCCATACGGCCCCAGGCCATGATCTGTGCTCATTCAGGGACTTCCCCTTGCTGAGGCCCAGCCTCGGGGAGCAGCGATCTGGCCGGCCTGTCTGATGGGAGGGACAGCCATGGACAGCTGGGAGAGAGGTCGCATTCCAGGAAGGGGGAACAGCAAGGGCCAGGGCGTGGGTGACGGAGTGGTGAGTGTGGACGCTGGGACTCTGTGGGGGCAGGGCGGTGACGGGGGGGAGGGTGGCAGCAGGTCCAGAGGACCCCAGGCCAGCGTGAGGGCTTGTCCCCAACACCCGGGGCGAGGAAACCATGGTGGGCTTACCTGGCTTGTGGAGGTCAGAGGCAGATTCGCCGTGACCTCAAGAGTGTCCCTTGTGCCTGACCAGGGTAAGCTCCCCTCCTCGTCCCCCGAGTGTGACCACAGAGCTGCTGCCAGTGGACGGTGACCAGATCGGGGGTTAGGGGGTATCCTTCTAGGCTGGGATCTGGCCCAAGTTCTGGTTGTTCACCTCTTTTTATTTTCAAAATAAAATAACCCAGAGAGAGAGGGCCAGGAGCGGAGGCGGGCTGGGTGGGAGACAGGGCCCCAGGAACCCACTGTGGGCAGTTCTCGGGCAGGGAACTCTCTGTTCCTCCAGGTAGCAGGCGTGGGAGGAAGGGGTGTCTGGTAGGGAACTTTCCCTGCCTGCCTTCCATGTCAGGAAATCCCCTGGTCTCAGAGCCACAGCAGGCCTTGCCTGGGCACAGCCACAATTCTGAAGGGCTGACTCCTAGCCAGGCTGCACCCTGCATCCCGTCGGGGGCTGTCGGCCCCTTTCTCTCCTTCACAAGTGGTGCAGCTTCACCTTGGGGAAAATTAGAAAGTCTGACAAGCAAAGAGGAAAACACAGCACCAACACCTGGCCCATCTTCCAGAGCTGACCACAATTATAGATCAGCCCACCCCCGCTGAGGCTGTTTCTATGCATTATATTGGATATTGTTATGGACTGAACTGTGTCCCCCAAAAATATGTGTTGTAAATCCTAACCTCTAGGCTTATGGTGATAATCTCATTTGGGAATGGGTTGTCTTTGTTATGTTAACGAGATAGGATTAGCACAGGGTGTATCTTGGGTCAGTCTCTTTTGAGGTATGAAACAAGCAAGCAAGCAGAGATGGGGAAGAGAGATGCCACGGGAAGATCGGGAAGATCGCCCAGTAGCAGAAGCTCAAAGGGACAAGGACCTTCCCTGAGAGCAGAAAGAGAGAGAGAGAGCTTCTCCTAGAGCCAGCACCCTTAATTTAGACTTCTAGCCTCCTAAACCATGATAAAATAAATTTCTGTTTGTTAAAGCCACTCACTTGTGGTGTTTCTGTTATAGCAGCACCGGATAACTGAGACCAATATGTATGTGTGTGGTATGTCCGCGTGCAGTTAACAAAAACAGGATCATGTTATGTTTACTGTTCTAAAATCTATTCTGTTCACTGTTGTCAAATCTGCTGGATTGAACAGTGATAATCAGCACTGGCTATTGAGCTAGGCGGAGCAGGCACAGGCATCAGCTCCTTGTCATCTTGACGGCATCCCTGCAACAGGGAAACGGAGGCTTAGGGAGGTCATGGCAGGAACTCAGACTCCGGACCGGCAAAGCGGGGTCCCCACGGGCTCTAAGCAGGTTTTGGGTGGCCCCGGGGTAACCGCGGTGGTAAGGGGGACGGGGACGGTGTGTGCGCTGGAGGTGGGGGGAAGCAGGGGGTGCGGAGGCAGCCCCGGGGTGCTGGGAGTGTGTCAAGGTGGTCCTGGGAAGCTGGGGGCTCCTAAGGTGGCTTGGGCGAACTGGTGGGCCCGAGTCCGGGTCCCTCCCGGCCTGCACTGACGTCTTCCGGTTCCAGCTACCCCAGGCGCCGAAGATCCGCTCGAGACACTTCGCTTCCACCCGGAGGCCAAGGGCGCGCAGGTGCGTCTGGACGCGCGGCGGTGCACGGCGCGGCGGCACGCCACGTTCCATGACGGCATCGTGTTCAGCCAGCGGCCGGTGCGGCCCGGCGAGCGCGTGGCCCTGCGCGTCTTGGGGCACGAGGACCAATGGTGCGGCGGCCTCCGCGTGGGCTTCACGTGCCTGGACCCCGCCCACGTGCCCGCGCCCAGCCTGCCGCCCTTCGTGTGCCCTGACCTGGAGAGGCAGAGCCCCACGTGGGCGGCCATGCTGCCCGAGGGCTGCGCGCTCGCGGGGGACGTGGTCTGCTTCTGGGTGAACCGCCGCGGCCAGCTCTTCGCGGAGGTCAACGGGGGCCCCCGGATCCTGCTGCGCAAGGGTGTGCGCATGGGCGCCCCTCTCTGGGCTGTGATGGATGTGTACGGGACCACCAAGGCCATCGAGCTGCTGGGTGAGGCAACTGGCGGTACCCAGGCACCACCCCCCGGGAGGAAGGTGGAAGCTCAGGTGGCACCTCCCCCGCATCCCAGGGCTACGGGAAGACCCACTGATTCATTCATTCATCTTTAGTTATTCCCCCAGCCCCTGCCCAGGGTCAGGTATGGAGACAGGTACTGGGGACAGCAGATGGACAAGACCAGTCCCTGATGGATGATAATAAGATCAGCATCCCAAACATCTGTTCAAGGGCTGATAGCATCTCACAAAGGAAGAAACATCTGTGCGGGCCTTTGCAGTCTAAGTAGGAGCTCACTAGGAGCCCAGGGTGTGGTAAGCAAAGGGAATAGTAAGTGTGGGGAGAAGGTAAGACGCCCAGGCAGTGACTGGAGAAATAAGATCCATCCCTCCCGCTACCCTTGAGGAGAGTAGATTTCAGGGGAGCAGTAGAAGCAGGGAACATGCATTAAAAGAAATATTAGCATTTCTGCTCTGGGGGTCCGTGGACCTGCACAGGCAGCCCCCCGACCCAGGGATTTTGTTTAACATCGTCACAGCTGCTGGAGCCTCACCTGGAGCGCCTGATTTGGCAGGTGCGGAGTGGGACCCAAGCATCTGTGTATTCCTGGCCTTCTCGGGGGAGTGGATCCACATCCGGGTTTGAGGATGTGGATAATGCTGAGGATCTCCACCCAGGCGGTGGCAGTGGGCCACAGGAGGGCACGGAAGGAAGGGCAGTTTGGGAGGAAGAATCTACAGCCTCATGAATTCTGGCCTCTGCTGGGTTGAGTTAGGGAAGGGATGGCCAGGGCAGGGCCTTAAAATCAGCCAGGAGCTCCAGCCCTGAAATGCAGGAAAGAAAGGAGATGGACACCTTGCTCCAGGGGTCAGGTGGGATGGCAGCCTTGGGTTTTCTCAAGCCGGGTACTGAGCTTCTCCTCTCTGCCACAGACCCCATGGCCAGCTGGTTCCCCACCACGAGGCCCTGGTTCCTTGGTGACGGTGACGATGTTGTGCCTGAGCCTGAAGGTGAGCACTTCCCTGAGCACCAGGGACTCCCCAGGACTCTAGCACTGGGGCAGGGGGCTGGGGGCGGCTGAGCCCTGGGAACTTGGAAATGTCTCTCTGACTCCCAGGACGGTCTCCAGCATGGCTCAGGTTCATGGGCTTTGGGCCAAAAGGCTTGGCCCTGCCTGCTAAACACCTAAAAGCAATTTAACAGCCCTGCTTTCTGGAACTTTGGCTCACTTCACATTACTAGAGCACATTCATGATGACCAGATAATGTTATTTTGTTCCTGCTTTGAAAGCATAACCCACGCTCATTATAAAAGCTTTGCCAAATAGAAATAAATTAAATATTACCAGAGAAGAAACTGTCTACAGGACTAATAGTCTACATGAACCATGGCCTCATCTACCCTGAGACCAGAAGAACTAGATGGTGCCCGGCTACCACTACCGACTGTTCTGATCAGGACCACAATAGATAGACCCGGATAGAACAGGAAAAAAACACAGCACAGAACTCAAATTCTTAAAAAGTGCAGCTTACTGGACGAATTGAGACTGGAGGACTCCCTGAGACTATTGCCTGGAGATACTCTTTAAACCTTGAACAGAAACTATATCCTGAGGTCACCTTTTAGCAAAATAACAGATTGGCTCACAAAATAAAGGTAATTACCTGTGAGTATGGGGCTCCATTAAAATACCATTTATATAAGACCACAAGGTCAACCATTACCCTGAAGTAGAGATGAGAAGACAAAGGGGGGGGGGAGGGAAACTAGAGTACTAGAAATGAAACGACCGTAACGCAATTAATGAGATGTTGACATACTGTGAAAAATGTAACTAATGTCACTGAACAATTTGTGTAGAAATTGTCAAATGGGCACCTAATTTGCTGTGTCAACTTTCATGGAAAACACAATAAAATATTTTTTTAAAGAAATTAAACATTAAAAGATAAAGAAGAAAGTGAAAATCAACCCCTTATCCACATGCCCAGAGTTAACCGTTACCTCTTGGGTGGCTTTCTGTCCAGTATTTTTCAGTCGTGCATCTAGATGAGGAATTGTTTGTGTTTTCTTTTCCTTTTTTTCTAAACTGGAATTTTGTGATATATGTGTATATATATTATGTTTTCTATCCAGTTTTTCTCACTTGACTACATTGTGAGCGTTTTCTCACGAGGTGAATATTCTTCAAAACACGACTACATAGTTCTCTGTCATGCGGTTATCTCAGGAGTAGGCTGCCTGCACTCGCCCCGTGTGCCCCTGATCTGTGCTCTCCTTTTTCCAGCCAGAGCAGAAGAGGAGGAGTGTGCCATCTGTTTCAACCACGCTGCCAACACCTGCCTTCTCCCCTGCGGCCATACATACTTCTGCAGCTGCTGTGCCTGGAGGGTCTTCAGGGACACGGCCAAGTGCCCGGTGTGCCGCTGCCAGATTGAGACAGTGACGCCAGTGCAGGGCCGTCCTGCCGTGAGGTCTGGGGAAGGCTCCTGGGCGAAGAAGAACTCCAGTGTGAGTGGCAAATTGGACCTGGCCCTGAGCCTGGCCCCTGCAGAGGGAGGGGTGCAGCCCTGCCCTGTTTCTGGAGAAGAATCGTGAAGGATAGCCAGCACCAGCCCCGCAGAGAGAGGGAGGCGAGGGGAGCAATGCTGTTTCCCTCACCCCTCCACCAGCAGATGGTTGCGGTAGGGCCAGTGGAGCAAGAAGGAACCCCTTTTTGTGCCCAATCCAGAACTATCCTCCTGATGGGGTGCCTGGCCCCAGGAAGTGGCTTCAGTAGTGGGCCAGGGGCTTAAGTTCCCTCTGCTTAGCTCCAGGTTCATTTGTGCCCAGGGCTTGCCAAGACTTCTGGCTGGCTGGCTGGCACAGCCACCATAGACCCAGCAATCCTTGGTACTCATAAGCTCAGAGGACAAAAGCTGGAAATCTAACAACTATGCATGTCACCAAGAAGGAGCTCTGTTCAGAGAGGGGGTGGCCCGGTCCCTCATTTTATAGTAGAGGAAGTTGAGGTATCTGCCGTGTTCGCTGGAAGCCTCGCACACCTGAGGTATTGAGGAGCCTGGGTCAGACGCAGGGACGCGTACGGGTGGGATGTTTACAGACCCATGTGGAAAGCTGGGTCACCTCTGAGAAGTCCTCTGTAAAGTGAGTCTGTAGTTACCTGCCCTGCTTACCTCACAGGGTGGTTGTGAGTGAGATCCCAGTGAGCTGATGCAGCTGAAGCTGATGAAACACACTTGGGTGTACTGTTGTCATGGTTACTCCCTTGCCAATAGCTCGGAGATTCAAGTTTATCTTTGTGAAAGATTTTCTAATGACTGTGTCTCCTTTGTTGCAGTCAGTGGGAGGGGGTGGAGCTGTGACCTGGTCAGGATGCCAGGCACCAGGCACTTGGGGGCATCCCCTCCTGTCCTCCACATATGCTGTTTGGCTGACAGGTGGGGCTTTGGGCATGCAGGCTCCTGGACTTTATTCTGCTGAGCACGTGAAGAGGACAGTCCTACGCTCCTAGTCCTGACGTCCCAAACAGATTTTGCCCTGCCATCCTTGACTTTGTAGGACTGCCTGGAGGCTCTGGCTTCTCCTGAAGAGTGGAATTGACCTGAGAGGCTACCTCAGCAGGTGTTTGTGGCAGGGGGCAAAGCTACACCTATTACTTTGCTGTTGTTCCCTGCTGTGTGACTAGTGGGGAGACATCTCCTGGGGGAGAGGGCTATATGAAGGCGGCTTCAAACCATTTGTTCTCCAAATTGTAATGACAGTCACCTTCACAGAAAGCCTCCCTGCCTACCCAATAGCCAGCTGGAGGGTCAGGGCATCAGGTTTGATGGAGCCAGAGATCTACTGTGGAGTGGGATCCTCTCTCTTCCCATGAGTGCTTGGGCATGTGATGTGACACCTGTGAGCCTCTATTTCTACATCTGTAATGTGGAAGTAAGATAATTTTCTTTTTGCTGGTAAGTTGTGAGGATAATAAGTATGAAACTTCCAGCTAGAGGAAGCACTCAAAATATGGCGGCTCTTTTCCCCTGAGAAAGGCATCTCTTAGGGAAGGAGGACAAGAAAGCACTGAGCTAGGCATCAGGGACGTAGATGTGGGTCCTGGCCGCCAACTAACTTTTACCAGAGGCACTTATATTACTCCAATATCTTGGAACGGTTCTTTGGATCCTAAAACAAATTTTTTCATCCTTTAAGTCTTTTTTCTTTTATTAACACACATAACTCCAGGCTAAGGATAGCACTTTAATCTTATTTCCTGTGAATTCCTCCCTTACTAGTTAACACCTAGGCAGGACTGATCTTAGAAAATATCTCTAACCAAAGGCACTTCTGGAATGATGGAGTGAGGACCTCCATAAATCCATTCCTCCATAAAAGCAACAAAAATACTGGCAAAATTTATCAAACTTTTTAAGAATTCTGTAAATTAAAGACATACAACAGTCTGAACAGTATCCAAGGAAAACTACAGAACTGTGGTAAGAACAGTGGTGTCTGTGGTGTTTTACCTTAGTGTACTCCCACCCCCACCCTCAATCCCCCAGCTCTGCGGTAACCTTGAAAACCAGTAGCAACTGAGGGGATAGACTGGGTTTGGAGCTCCTAGGAAAGCCTCATCCTCAGAGCCTTGTCACTATTTAACCTGACTTGGAACTCTCTCCCTTGGGAAAACCCCTATTCCCAGGGTATTTGTTGAACATAAGCAGCTACAATTGTTTAACATCACAGCTGCCTAAGACTGCTATACAAAATGTGGCAAACGAGCCTGGATAAAAAATTGAAAAGGAAGCTCAAGCAGGGCTATGCACACACTCAGGAAAGATCTAAGAAGGTCCCAATCTTTCATTTCTGGTTAACTTTGAGACCCTGAACAAGCAGGAAGTAAAGGCTAAGGCAGTATTGTAAATGGCCTGAGCATTGAATGCATGCCTCAACCCACCCACAGAGTTTCCTTGGCAAAAGGTGGGATATTTACCAGCTGAAGGCATTTAAGGAAATCTCTGTTCAATCATTAGCTAACTACTAAGCTAACTGAGCAGAGACTTCAGTGGCTGCACATTACAGATAATACAGGCTTTACAGAATTAATCTTGGAAAGTCACTGAACAAACAGCAGCAGCAGCAATCAGAACAGCAAACCATGGGGAGGTCTGATTTCCAGAGTGGCCACATTATAGTATCTAAAACATCAAGTTTTCAACAGAATATTATGGGACTCACAAAGAAATAGAATATGACCCATGGACAGGGAAAAAAGGATGTCAATAGAAACTGTAACTGAGGGAGCCCAGATGTTGGACTTACTAGACAAAGACTTTAAATCAGCTATAATAAATATGTTCAAAGAAGTAAAGGAAACTATGCCTAAAGAAGTAAAGTATGTCAATTATGTATCATCAAATTGAATATCAATAGAGATAGAAATTATAAAACCAAATAGAAATTCTGGCATTGAAAAGCACAATAACTGAAAATGAAAAGTTCACTAGAGGGGCTAGACAGAAGATTTAAATTGTCAGAAGAAAGAATCAATGAACTCAAAGATAGGTACTATGAGATTATCTTGTCTGAAAAATAGAAAGAAAAATGAACAGAGCCTCAGAAACCTATGGGCCACTATCAAGCACAACAATATACAAATAATGGAAATACCAGAAGAAGAGGAGAGAGAAAGGGGCAGAAAAAAATATTCATGAAAATTTCCCAAATTTGATGGAAAAAAATATTAATCTACACATCCAAGAAGCTCCAAGATAAACTCCAAGATAAACTCCAAGATAAACTCTAAGAGATCTACACCTAGACACACCATAGTCAAAACACCAAAGACAAAAGGTAAAGAGAGAATCTTGAAAGAAGCAAGAGAAAGACGGTCAAACGTACAAGGGATCCCCAATAACAGCTGAATACTCATCAGAAGCTAAGGAAGCCAGAAGACAGTGGGATGCCACCAAAAGTGCCAAAAAAAAAAAAACATTGTCAATCAAGAATTCTATATCCAGAAAGCTATCCTTGAAAAGTGAAGAACCAACCACTCTGACAGGGATCACACAGTAGAGGGTCCCGGACAGATCAGGAGAAAAATGTAGAACAAAATTCAAATTTACAAAAAAAAAAAAAAAAAAAAAGACCAGACTTACTGGTCTGACAGCCACTGGAAGAACCCCTGAGAGTATGGCACCTGGACACCCTGCTAACTCAGAACTGAAGCCACTCCCAGAGTTCACCATTCAGCCAAAGATTAGACAGTTGTATAAAACAAACAATAACACTCATGAGGTATGTGCTTCTTCGTTCAATCATGTAAATGAGACCAAAAGGGCAACACTTGCCCAAAGGCAATGATGAGAAGCCAGAAAGGGACAGGAAAAATAGACAAATGGAAACAGGGAATTGGGATGGAGAAGGGGAGAGTGTTGGCACATTGTGGGGATTGCAATCAATGTCACAAAACAATTTGTGTATAAATTGTGGAATGAGAAACTAATTTATTCTGTAAAATTTCACCTAAAACACACACACACACACACACACACACACACACACACACACAAAACTCAACAGAAAATGACTGGGTCAAGAGCTATAACACTGGAGAGGGTGCAAGACAGTGGCAGCAGTACGAGTGGTGGGAACCACAGGAGCAGCAGACGGCTGCTCTGGTGCTTGCCAGCCCACAGAGAAAGAGAGCTCGAGCTGAGTGCCTTCAGTCAGGGGGCTTGTTGGCAGAGCAGGTGCCTCCAGGCACTTGTCAGCAGAGCCAGAAGAGGAATAACACTTGCCAGAGCCGGGCAAAGGCCTGGGAAGGCCCAGCAGCAGCGGCAAGGCCCAGTGAGGCCCAGTGGCCAAGAGTAGGGCCTCTGGCTGGCACGGCCAAGAGAAGGGCCTGCCTGGAGGCACAACTGATAAAAAGGTGACAGCTCTCTTGGCTGGAAGCCATCATGATCAACAAAGTGTATCCTGTCTCCTGAATTGTATCCTGTTACTTCCAAGTTGCTCCTGGTCCCAAGTTGCAGTCTGTTACTTCCATAATAAACCATATAATCGTGGGTATGGTCTGTGAGTTCTGTGTGACCATTGCAATGAATTATAAAACCCAGCAGAGGAGAGAGTGCCATAGGGGGTGGGGGGACAACTGGTGTCAGAAAAGGTGAAAAAGTTGGAGAGTGGAGGTATGTCTGACCTCCACCTCATAGGAACCAGTCTTGTGCTGATGTTGATTCTTTTCCCCCTGTAGTTAGGTGACTTCTGACACTAGATTACAGGAACATAAGCAGAAAATGTCTGGGCCTTGCAGCAAAGGTGTAGATAGGAGGAGGTTGCCCAGTTTTTTCTGTATATGGTAGTATTCGTTGTTTCTGGTGCTGATGTAGGCCCACAATTCTACACTTCTCAGATACTTTACTCCATGCATGCAGTCAAGACCACCAGACTTTGGTGGATATCCATGAGAAACAAGGGGGCAACCAAGAACCATCTCCTTATCTTATGTAAATCCTTTGGTTAGTGATTTGCTGTTTTGAGAGAAAACCAAAATAAATGCCACCTCTAACTAGATGCAAGTCATTAATCGTGTCCATCATCAAAGCTAG